AGCTGAACACAAATGAAACTGATGATGCTGAATAAGTGTGGGTTCTGCTCACCAGCCACGTTTCTGGAGAATGCATGATGTTCTGTTTCAAACGGAGTGGCCCTGACCCGGTCACCGCTCTGATGTTGACCGTCCCTCATTAGCTGTCTCCTTGTCCTGCAGGTCAGTCGTGGAAGGCTCTGAGTGCCCCAGACAAGCGACCCTTTGTGGAGGAAGCAGAACGTCTCCGTGTCCAGCACCTACAGGATCACCCAAACTACAAGTACAGGCCTCGTCGTAAAAAGACCCCCAAAAAACTGAAGCGAGTCGAACCGGGTCTCCTGCTGCACAGCTTGGCCCAAGGTGGGGCCTCGAGTCTCGGTTTGGGAGGGGGTGTTAGTCCTATGGGTGCAGAAGGCATCTCAGGAGGTCCTGCCTATGTCCACCCCGCACACCATCACACCCCCCACCACCTTCTCCCGTCTCTGGGACACTTCAGAGAACTGCAGACCCCTGGACACCCAGAGCTGGAGAGCTACGGCCTACCCACTCCAGAGATGTCCCCTCTGGATGTTCTGGAGGACGGAGCAGGAGAATCCGTGTTTTTCCCCCAACACATGCAGGAGGAGTCAGGGATAGGAGGATGGAGCGGTTATCATCACCACCTCCACCATAACCAGCTTTACAGCCATCACTATAGCAACCACAGTCAGCACGGTTCCGTGCATGGGCTGGGTCGTGGAGCGAGTGTTAGCACCAGTCTGAACAACTCCAGTTGTGGTACAGCTAGAAGCTCCAGAATAAGTTCTGTTGACTCAAACATGACCTCCACCATGAGCTCCAAACTGCACCACGCGTCCACCCACCAGGTGCCCCTAAGGAGTCCTGTAAAGTGCCCTCCACCTCTCCATGACTCCTCCTTCCTGGTGTCGTACCCCCACCCTTCCCTCAGTCTCACTGAACCAGCAAAATGCCAACAAACGACCCCGAGCGCAGCTCCTGTGGGCTTCTTCAGCCAGATTTACGGGAGCAGCACCTCAGGCTCCACACATGCCACCTCCTCTCGTCTGGGGCAGCTCTCACCTCCTCCTGAAACACCTCCTTCCTCCTGCTCATCCTCCAGTATCCCCCCTCCATCCTCCTATGCTCGCTCTGTGCACTCAGACCACTCCAGCTTAGAGACAAGTGGACACATGGGGTCTTCTGCTGCTGACTTCTGGTCCGAGGTGGACCGGCATGAATTTGACCAGTATGTAAATGTGGGGAGGAGTCAAGAAGAGGTCTACGGACTGGGGTGTGGAGGTGGGTCAAAGGTCATGGGTGGCTGTGTTAGCAGCATAGTTGGCAGGGATGTTGGTGTTTGTATGGGTGCTGCTGGTGCTGATGATGGGAGCAGCCCTCTGATTTCGGCCCTGTCTGATGCCAGCAGTGCTGTTTATTACAGCACCTGTATCACTGGATGAACAGAACTGTCTCACCTCCTCCCCCGCTCTGAACCGTCTTCGTCTTGTTTCGCTTCCAGCGTAGAGCCTGAAATCTCTGTCTAAAATTCAGATTGTCAATAAAAAAGTGTCTGATAGATTAAAACAGAATAAAAAAGCACGTTAAACCAACCTGGAAGAGAACAGCAGCGGACCAGCTGTTGAGACGACCCCCCAGGTCAGTTAGCTAGTCAGACTAGCGTGACATTGTGCATTAAACACTTGTTTGGTTTTTGTTTTTACTTCTGCTCATGAAGGATAAACTGAAGGCAGCTTGGAAACAAACAACTTAAAGTTTGAATTTTAACACCAGATGATTAAGCTGATGCTAGAAGCTGGGCTGATTACTGATGACGATGATTTCATCCTTTTGTTGTTCGTTTGCAGCCAGCAGACTGCAGCAGCCTGAACAACGCTGAAGGAGAGCGCGTAGGCTAACTGTAAAGTTGTGGGTGTTTTACAGTAACCTGATGTCATCTACGACATCAAACCAGAACCTTTCGGTTGAGTTTGGACAGATTCACGAGGCTTTCTGTGCAGAAGAAGATTCTGTGGGGGGTCTGATCCGTCCGCCGCTAGCCCAGAACAGACCACGGATGTCCCACAAACGGGTCGGTGCCGTTCCCTCGCCTCTGTTCATCTCAGGACTCTGAGCCAAATTCTCTGTATGAATTTACAGATTCATACATGTCTCTACTTCCTGACAAACAGCAATCTCTGTTGATTTGAAGATCCTTTGGACCACAAAGCCTCTGTGGTAAAGCAAACAGGTGCAACTAAAAGGTGCTTCAGTCCGAGATCATGTAAATATGACCTTTAACCTGTCTGATTCACCCGGTGGGACCAGAGACAGGTCTAGAGTTACGTTTCTAACGGTTGACTGTTTTTACACGACTGCATGATGCAGCTGATCCCTCCGCAGCTGTCTGTGAACAACGTGAAACATTCACTTTGCACTGGGTTTGATGTGTTATCTGTACAGAAAGAAAACTACTTCTTAAATGATTCAAAGTCTGTTGTATAAAATAAACATTTGAGCAGAAAGAATTGTTTTATCTGTCTCATTTTTCTCAAAGGAAATGTTTTCAGCTCTGCGTCGGTGCTGCTGTGAGGCTGTTAGCTTAGCTTAGCTTAGCTTAGCTTAGCTAAAGCACAGGAAACCAAACCACCAACTTATTATTGAGAAACGTTCAGCTGGAAATATATTTTTATGAAATGATCCTCCCTAACCAGGTAGAGCTTCATGTGAGGTTCAGGGCTGGTTGGACGGGAGGAGCGCGTCTAAGTGTACATCCTGTTTGCTGCAACAGCCACAGCCAGAGGCGACGACTGGTTCAGAAAGGGCAGATTCAGTCGCAACGGTCCAGGGATGACTGGCTCCAACGGAGTACCGAGGCCATCGTAGACAAAAGAAGAATGGCTCTGGATGAGTTTGTTTCTGCAGTAAGAAAAATTCAAGACTCCTGTCAATATTTACAAGAGAAACTTGGACATTTTCTGTCTATAGTCACAAATTCCCAAAAGGAATTTTACAAATGTCCATGACTCCAGTCATGACTGTATTACATTAAACCTGGGACGTTTGTCTGCGCAGGCAGGAACCGGCAACACAAGCCTAGTTTTCCGTGTGAGGAGAGCCGCGTGTGGCATGAGGCGGCTTTAGCCACTCGTGTTTCTAATTATCTCCACTGACATCTAGAGCTTGATGTAAATGGTGGTGGCTGGATGGTGAGGTAGTTGTAGCACTCTTGCCTCGCAGCAACAAGGTTGTTGGTCCAAATCCCAGCCTCAGTCTTTCTGCATGGGTTGAGCTTGTTCTCCTCATGCCTGTGTGGCCTTTCTCCGGCCTGCTCAGAAATGTGCATGCTAGGTTATGAACCGCTAAAGGAGATCCACAGTTATAAACGGCGTTTGATAAAGCGAAATAAATAAACATGACACCTATTGTGGACCTCAGGATTGTTTTTTACTTTTGTGGATGAAACATGGCAACCATGGCTGCTAAAATCCATATAATCACCGCAGAAGGGAAACATGTAAGAGAAAATATCAGATTATCGGCAGCAAACCGTAGGCTGGAAACCTTGTTCTGTCGCTGCAACTGCAACCTTCACCCAGTAGGTGTCGCTATGGTGTTCGTGTTCCGGTAAAACTGCTGATACCGTTTTATGCCTGCGACGAAGAAGAAGAAGAAGAGATTAATACGTATTTTTATATATGGTGTGAAACTGTGACCCAAGCATGTTTATTGGGATCCTTTGTGAAGATGTTTGTTTGTTTGTTTGTTGTTGTCTTTAGAACATTATTTAGCTTTCTGGAGATCTGGGATCTGTTTTGAGCTCAGAGGCAAAAACAAGACGCCTCCCTTTAAACATGGAGCCTTCATCTGTTCTGCATTAGTCTGGAAGACAGAGCTTGTTTCTTTTCTCTTTATGCACAAGAAGAAACGGAGCAACATCTCTTGTACAGTGAGACCGGCTCCATTCTCCAGGAAAGGACAGAGCTGCCTGCAGCAGGGTGGAGGGTTCAGAGCCGCTAGCGACAGCGAAGCTCCACGGAAACAGAAGTTTAAGCAAACTTTTAAAAATACTTCAGCATCTGGGTTGGACACTTTTCCACTGACAACAAACAGTCTTTTCATTTTAATTTACAGTGACACACAGCGACTTCAGAGAGACGTGCTTTTAGAATTGTGCAACAACTCTGGGCCTGTTGGTAATAATTATCTAAAGCAATAAAAAGAAAAAACACACAAGACTTTGGGATCAAATCAAAGTTTTCTCTGCAGACAAATAACGACAAATTAGAAGCAGCATTTTCCCACAAGTGTCACTGTGATTCTTCTAAATCTACATGAGGAGGATCATTTTTAGGTTTTCAATCAGTGAAAAATGTTCTGCAGAAGTCTTTAAATTCACTAAATTTCTGGACCTCTTCAGGAGATGTGTCTTTCAGCTTCAAAACACTTCTCACCTTAACTTGAATCCTGTAATTTTGCTCACCTAAAAACTTATTCACAATGAAAGGGAGACTAGGTAGTTTTAGCTTGCTTTTAGCACCCCCTAGTGTTCATTTGTAGAACCAAAAGCGAAACGTATCTCCTTGCTGTGCGCTCGTCTTTTTAACACCTTCACCTAACGGCTGAAACACCTCCCAGCCTTCCTGACTACAGGAGCGACTCATCACTAAATTAAACAAATCAGCTGTGTTCACCATCTAAAGCATGCAGGAGACGTGTTGGAACCAGACGGCAGCACCAGGTAGCTCAGCTCAACTTTTTAAAGTCCCAACAGAACGGACCGGCACTCTGAAGTTGCAAGTGGAGTATTCTGGCCACAGGGGCGACTGAGGCTGGGTGGTCTTTCATTACCTCTGTAAAGGGTTATTTTATCACATTAGTCCCTCATTTATCACGGGTTTACGCGTTAAAAATAACCTGTGAAAGGTGAAATCTGCCAAGTAGCCAGCTAGATTTATTACAACTGTTATAGATGTTTCAGTGCTGTTAAACTCCTCACTACACACTTTATGCACTTTCTCAGACTGGCATTAACATTTTGACACATCTTGTTTACCAGTGGCGCCAGTGCTCGGCAGCCTCGCCTCTGTCAGTGGTCCAGGGCAGCTGTGGCTACGTCGCAGCTCATCATCACCAGAGTGTGAATGGATGGATGACTGATTGTGTTGTGAAGCACCTTGGGGGGGGGGGGGGGGGGGGGGGGGTTGTAGAGGCCTAAGAAGGCGCTATACAAATGCAGGCCATTTACCATTTGTTTAAGCACTCTCGGTGTGCTGTAAAAAAACATGCAAAATTCCGCCAAAAGGCAAATTTTTTCAGGTGTATTTATTAGTTTTCCATTAACCCTTTAGGTACCATAGTTTTTCAGTGAAATATGAATTATTTTATATGACTATTTAAAGAGCTTGTAGCTTAAATCTGGTTAGAGATGGAGGAATATCGTATCAAATATTGTAAATTAGAAAAGTCTTCAGTATGAGCCAAATTTTGTGATAGGAACAAATTCACTCACATAATTTGCATATTGTGACGTCATCTGGTGGCAGCCATATTGGATTGCATCACATTTGCAGATTTTTGTTGTTTTTAAATGTTTTTGTCTTATTTTCTTAGTGTTTATGATACATACATATTCCTATGTAGACATATATAACTATGTATGTATATATATATATATATATATATATATATATATATATATATATATATATATATATATATATATATATAATATTTATTACTTAATTGGTATTTTGTTATGTTTACTGCGTATCAATCAAGAACACTGTTTTTGGTGCTTCAGCGTCATGAACTCATTTCACTCATCCCTTCTTCGGTTTATTTTGTTAATAATAATAATTATTATATATATATAATCCTCAATCTCAGGCTTTCCCACAAGCCCCATGCAGAACTGAATGGCAATGAACGCTTTCATTTCTGGGACAGTTACATCGTACCAGTCATATCTGGAGCTAGATTTCAGGTCCTCCCTCTCTAAATACTGGTGAGCATAGCGGTTAGTTTCTGTTGTGATGAGGGTCCAGAAGTCCTCATCCAAAAAAAACTGACAGAAAATCAATGTGTTCTGAATGTGACAGATCCCTGTCTCCACAGTATCCAACTGGCTCATCAAAATGCCTGATCCACTTGGAATACTGTTCCTCTTCTCCCAAACTAACCCAGCCATCATCACCATTAGTCTCACTGAGGCTGTGTTGGGCCACCCCCTGCTAGCAGTGATTTTTTTTCCCGCGGTTCCTCCCCCTCCGGCTCCAACTCCCGCGGATTACACCCCCGGGGCTGAATCAATCACCAGCGGCGTTTTCACATGCCCGATCACCACCACCACATCCCTCCCCACGGAGGTGACGCGGGACATCGGACAAGGTCAGGGCTGGATGGTCTGCTTATGTAACCGCATCATCGCTGACAGACTCCCTGTTGCTGCGCGCTGAAGCCACACTTTCCGTCTCGCTAGAAGACTGCAGATCATCCGAATCGGCCAGTACTAGACGAAGAGCTTCGTCAGCACTGAACATTCCTCTCGTCATTGTTTTTTTTCCTCTACCACTCGCTCGCTCTGACAACCTCCACGACTCTGCGACTGGTGGGCGGGGTTCAAGCTCTAAATACTCAAAAAGTATCTATAGTAACACACCCACAAATGCTGCTTGGATTGAAGTTACAAGTGTCTTCCACCCCACAGTGTAGCGTATTAACTGCATGAGGGCTCATTTCTGCTGTTGTGGCTTATTAAATCCAGCATTGCTGCTTGTCGCAATTCTGCGACTTTGGCGCTTAAAGGGTTAAATATTTAGTGTTTGAAGTGAGCTGTCTGAATATTTTCCCTCACAAAAACACTGCTAGAACACCAAACGCTGATTATATCATGACCATAACAGCATCATGAAAACAAAACAACCAGATGCACCACTCCATGCATTCGGTTCAGTTCAGGTTCAGCATTCCACTCCTCTCCTGCCCCTGATCGCTGCTACCACTGTAACTTTTAAAACCAGGAGAGACTTACTACAGGCAATGCGGACCAAGTTCTGACACCGGTCATAGAAGGGCCTGACAGCTCGTATCAAAGGGCCATGAACCCCACAGGGCCCCCCAGAGACACAGTCAAATGCCTTCTTCATATCCATCAAACACATGAAGATTGGTTGCGTAAACTCCCCCATAAAGGCACAGAGCTGCTCCATTGTTCCACGGCCAAAACAAAAATCACATTGTTGCTCCTGAATTCAAGGTTTGACGGTCTGACGGACCCTCCTCTCTAGACTCCTTGAATAGACTTTACCAGGGAGGCTCTGGAGTGTGCCTGTAGTTGGAACACACCCTGGAGTCCCACAACCCTAGTCTGCCAATTCAGTGGAACTGCCCACCGATGTCCACGCAGTATTTCAGAGCCATGTCAACCAACCCAGCCCCACAACATCCAGACCCTTAAGGATCTTGGGGTGGATCTCGTCCACCCTTGGGGCCTTGCCACCGACGAGTTTTTTAGTCCAT